TAATTATGACTGATGTCTTTTAAGCAAAGACTGCAGATATGTCTGTTGTTGCTATAAAAATGCAAGTGAACTAGGTCACTGCTGCAATATGCTGCCATGTGTCTTCATTTTGTAAATGTTTTAGATTCCAGAGGATGCACTTTTGTTTCTGCTCAAATCTACCATAATAGTAAGACAAAATATTTATACTGGAATTAGTTTGGTCAGGGCATAATTTTGTTTGGCAGATTGGGTCACCTTTAGGGGAATTAACAGTTTGTGAGCTGCAGGCTCGTTTGGGGTTTTGATACACTGCTCATTGTGAGCAACACAATATTGGCACACATGGGACAATACTGTAGCAATGACACAAAGTAACTGGAAAGTACATTCTCCTCAACCAGACCGGGTGAAATATCAGACTTTGGTCCTGAACTGAAAAAATGTGCTGCAGGACTCAAGAAGGCAAAAACCAGTATCACAAGAAACTGTTTTCCATCAGTAACTCTTGGTACTTTGAGACAGCTTTTTCAAATATCTGAACTTCTCACTGTGATTGCCTGTACATCCATCTTCTTTTAATCTCACATTTTTCATTTAAGTCTTCTGCTAACACAAATTCCTGGGAATCCTCTGAAGTTAAATGATAACAGTCCTTTTCAGCACCTAATGGGGGGCTCAAAAGATTTGAGGTAACGACTGATTTCAGTGAAATGTGCAAGATTGAATTAATAGCTCTTCTTGCTATTTAGCTATTGATTGATAGGCCCCTGTTCTTGCTTACCTGACAGTATATTAGAGCCCAGTGCTCATTAATGGCTGACTTTTACTTCTGCTGCTTGCTGTAGTGTTTTGCTGGTTATCATCTGACTCTGCTGTGCCTGGGAACAGCAATGGGAACGTGTCTGGGCTGGCAGATGGCCCAGGCATCTCTGCTGTCTGTATGGCTGTGCTGGACAGGCTGGAACTCCAGTGGGAACTTGAATTGAAAGGACTGTGACCTGTGGATGAATCCATTCAAGAGCAGGACACCCCAAAACACCCGTGGCCATGGCCAAGTCCCCAGCAAAACATATCTCAAAGCGTCTGTGGCAGTGGTTATGGAAGAGATGGTGGCCCATGCTGAAGCAGGTACACTTTGAAGCATCTGTGGCTGTGGATGATGTACATCATCTTGGGAGTGCACAGTTTATATCATCTGATACCTGAAATTAAATTTGAACTAATTACAAAGATGGTACTTTTTCCTGTGCTTTATAGATATAGCCTAAAAATGAAGTTCCAACAGGGAATAAAGTAACTTTCACTATTTGTACCTCTCTGATAGCACAAATTACCAGGTGATGTTTCTTCTTCAACTCTTTAAATTACTGCTTGACTAAAAAATGCATTTAGGCACTTAAGGCTTGGTTTATAAAACTTCTGGTTACTTTTTTGCTGGTTCTTTGCATTGTTTGCTTGGTAAAATAAAACTTTGATCTCATGAGTAATAAATGGGATTGAAGATGTGAAAAAAATGTGGTATTCTCAGAATGGATGGGTAGATTGCACTGAAATATATTTTATTTAAATAGATATAGTGGCAACATTTTACATGCAAAATACAGAAGCTACAGGTGCCTGGAGGAATGCCAGTCAAGTTAACAAAAATACACAGGATACAGGATCCTTTTTAAAACAATGTGTTTGTTCTGATCAAGCGCTTCCAGGGTATTCACACTGAAGTTCTTGCTAGGTGATTTTTTACATTGTAAATAAACTAGTCCTGAAGTACTACTTCTAGCATGTAATTAATTTGTGGGAAAGGGGTGAATATTATTTTTTACTGCTTCCTCTTCTGTTATAACAAGAAGGCCAAACAAACAGAACTGAGGAGCAATCACTTTAAGTACCATATAAGCATAATGGAAGCACAGGTAACAACTGAAAGATTTACAACAGAAATTAGAGCTAAGAGATAGCAGGGTAATAAAGATTTCAGGATGACAGAGTGCAAAGGTTAGGATTAATGCATTAAGTGATAGGTAAGCTGGATTCCTGAGCACCTTTTTGTTGAAACCCAGTGTGTTCAACCAGAATATGAAGATGGGCAGTGTAATGGGGGGTGGAATTTGTGTGGGCTTTTCTAAAGGTTGTGTGACAGAACATGGAGAAATAATTGAGCTGACCTGGCAAGCAGCTCAGATCCGCACAGCTGGCAGACACTTCCAAATAGGTGGTCTCATTTCTGGTTTTACATACAGGGAATGTGTACAGAGCATCCCACATCCACATTTCTGCACTGTAGACATTTTGTGGGAGCAAATAGCTCAGTGGAAAGTACTGACTATAAATTATCCATTCTCTTTTGATGATGATTTGTTGGAACTATGGAAGTAGCCTGATAATGATGTGATACAAACATTCTGCTTCATAGCCACAGCAAACATGAGTAAGAGAAGTGATCATACTTCTTATTATCATATAGTATTCTATTCACTGGGAAATTAAAATTGAATCTTTTTGAATCAGGACTAGATAATCCTGGAAAATTGTTTGGAAAGTTATGTTGAGAGGAACTCTTAGTGGTTTAGTTTTATTTGCAAAATTAAGGCACACTTAAAAGAATATTGTTCCAATATTATAGTAGTGCCAGCATCTGGACTTCTGCTCAAATTATTACCAAATTTTTTGCTCCCAGGATGTAAAAACTTTACTATTTTTATGCAAAGAATCAATCATCATTCATATTTCTGGCAATGAATGTAAGAATGAAGGAAGTAACATAATCAGAGAGAAAAAAGTTAAATTCAGCTCATTATGATTCTTTCCCACCTCTTCTACTGCTCTTTCCATCCATATTTGGAACCCCTAGAAAATATTACAAGAATTTTGAGGCAAAAATGTCCATGCTAAGCCAAATTACCAACAACAGCACCATTATTATATACTTTTCTACTTCAAAGCAATGTCAGTTCATAGTGCATATTCCCCCAAATATTAAAAAATAGAGCAGCATCGGGAGCATTAAAGTAACACTAGGAAATCTCTTAGTGTATTTTGCAATATTTTTCCCTTTTATCCTTAACTGCTGTGAGTTTTTGTAACCATTTTGATAAAGAAAGACTCTGTTAGGCATAGCATGGCTTATACCCTTGTGAGTACCAGGTATAGCAGGTATTGATTTTGCCCTCTTAGAAGATGTGTGTGTTGATGGAGTGGGCACAGTCGAAGGACCCATGAGAAATGTTAACACATTTGAGAATTCATTTGCTGCTTGTTGTACTACCTGGAACAGCAAGTATGCATTTAAAGATCATTTTATTTAAAGTAACAGTAGTAGAAGCAAGTAAAAAGTCAAATCCCCAACCCACCAAAATATGTTGTGGTGAGTCTTTTCTTCTTTGGTATGGAAAAGGAGGGACAAGTTGCCATTTGAGTAACATAAAGTGCCTCGATGTGTATTCGAGAGAGCATGTAAAAACTGACACAGAATGCGGCGGGATAAAGGGAAGAAGGAAGTTTGCTAAGTCTGCTGTGGTTCCCGACGATGGTACGTGTGGTGCAGCTGTGCGCTTGCAGGCAAGGCACGCTTTACCGCCGGGTGCAAAGCCAGCGCAGGTTGCTGAGCGGTGCCGCTAGGCGGAGGCAAGTACTGCACAGTCCGCACCTGCTAAGCAGGGTTAGGTGCCGATGGCAGCGCTTTTCCCCAGAGGAGAGGTCCCGTATGGCAATGGAAAGGCAATAGGAGCTCAACAAGAAGTAAAATGCTGCTGGCAGCCTCATCAGAGGCTGTCTCTGAGGACGAAATTCCTGGCTTCTATTTTATTTCACTTGCTGTGGTGATGCTAAGTTGGTGCTGCTGCCTCTCTTGAGATGGATCCTTCAGGACACAGACACCTGTGCTGGCCCTACTGCAGGCCAGTCACCCTATGTGGCCACAGGAAGCTGTCTCCCAGATGTGTCCCATTGTCAGGACTAGGAATACACTTCTGGGTTCTATTGAATTTGTCTCAGTTCACAAGGATGTTAATTGTACGCTAGAAAACAAACCTACTACTTTCAGTCAAGTATTTGTTCTCCTGGCTTCATTTGGTAGAGTGCCTTCTCCAGCCCTGTACATGAATTGTTCTGTGTGGCCTTAGGAGTGTATTTTTCTGCACAGTCTTTGATAAAGCACGTTCCCTGCTGTGCAGTGTCACCTCTGGGGGCTGGCTCACGGTCACTCCTTGTGCTGGGTAGCCCTGGTTTAGGAAGCGGTGAAGATGCTGGCCGTGACACTGAGCTGGTGTTTATGCTCCGCATCTCTGTGCGCAGGGAGCCATCTGTTGGAAACTGTTAATAAATGCACCTTCTACCTTCAAATTTTGAAGCTTTTGAATATCCTCTTTTTGTCTTTTTTTTTTTTTTTTTTTTTTAAAAATATTTTTTAAAATACCCAAGGGCGTTTGAATATCACAGAGGACAATGGGAATCCCAGTCCACTACTTCTCAAACCTGCTTCTCTGGAAAGCCAGGGAGGACGTGATGATGAAAAGCTTTTCCCTTTGGGAAAATATCCCAGCCCATACTGAAGAAAGCACTGTGGAGACCTCCTCTATGTGTGAGCCATATGGGAAGCACACTGGTTCTGAGGAGTCAATACTGTGAAGTGGCAGGACATGCATGGGAATTGAAAGCAAGCCACTGATGTAAGAACAAACCCTTTTCTATTCTTACATCAGTCGGGCTCTTAAGGTGCCTATAAACCTATTCACAAAGATACTTGTCTGACTGTCTATCATGCATGTAGGAGTAACTTAATCCCTCAGTGAAATGCCAGAAGAAAAAAGAAAATCTAAGAAAACAGAGCATACTTATTTTTATTATTATTTTTTTTTGTTAGGTGAAATTGTGTAATGTGCAAATAAATCATTATAAAAATTCAGGGAGGGAAAATGCAGCCTGAAAATTTACCATCTTAATTAGCCGGAGGATTAAAATTGTTTTGGAACATCAAAACAATGGGAAGTGAATTCTTTGATCTTCGTTAAGCACTTTCTTCAAGAGTTTGATGGCTTTTTCCCTGTGAAAAAAGAAGCACAAAGATAGAGACCCTACTGAACACTGACAATGCAAACAACTGTGGTTTTTTTCCTAATGTTCCTCTAGCATGCCCTGAGTTGGGCAGTGCCTAAAGTAAAGCAAACCTGACAAATTCGGTCCTGTGGGATCAATTCTAGTTATGTTCCCCTGTTGCTGAGGAATTTCTGCCTTTACTGGACATGGTGAGTGGCACAATACCTGTCCTTTCCTGCCAGGGGCACCACTCACTGAAAGAGCTCCTTTGCAGAGCAAGGACCACAGGATTTGCTTGGCAGAATGCAGGTGTGTGGGAGGACAGAGCAGCAAGCCATGCACTGCTGCTTTGTCAGCTCTTGCTTGCAGTGGGAACAGACTACAGAGGAAATACAGTGAGTGGACAGAGTATGCAGGAGTTGTTTTTTGCCAAGTTTGTTCACTTTCTTTCTTTTTGGTAACATGATGAGGCCCTTGCAATCAGGGACAGTGAAAGCTGTACCCCAGCAAGTTTTGTCTTGAAAATCAAATTTAATCATGAGTTTACCGTATAACTTCTGAATTCCTCTCCTGTCATCTTCTGGAAGTCTGAAGGTTTCTGGGTTCTGATACGAGTAGAGAGGGTACATCAGAGCTCCACGGACATTGGAATGAGCAAGTCCCAAAGAATGGCCAAATTCATGAGCAGCAACAAGGAACAAATTGACATCTGCAACGTAGAAATCCATAAATGGATGTTAAAGGTATGGCATTTTTTAAAAAAAATCAAATTAATTGAAAGAGCAGGAGAATTTGTATATTTCAATCCATCTTGCAATGAAACTCCAGGATTTTGATCCATTATTGTTGAGCTTTCATATATAACGGTAAGATTTTATTAAAAATCTACTTGTTCCTTGCATATGCCTCTAGAGACCCTGAGTCTCTTTTGGACTCTGCGTTTGGTCAACCTCATTCCTAGAAGCAAGTAAATTCACCTTTTTGCAATTGATGTAGGAAACAAGGGCTCACAGTCCTTGTTTAGCCTGCAAAAAGTGCTTTAAATGATGGACAGAACAGGCATTATGTAGGTGCTCATAGTAATGAAGCCCTAGTACTTAAATGATAGTTGAAAAGAATAGAAATGTTAGTATTGAAGTAATACTGAGGGATGAAGTGTAATTGAAAGCACTTCCCGTGACTGTGTTCTTCCAACATGGACAATATTTGCCTTTCCCTTTCATCTGCACCTATGAACTTTACCTCGATTGATATCTGACCATTTTTCATCATCATCAAAGTGAGCATCTCCTCCAATCCCATCTCCAGGTTCAAACGCATGGGCCAGTGTGCCACCTTGTCCATCAAAAGGAGCTCCATCACCATGCTCTGCATTTGAAATAAATCAATGTCATCAGATGAGATCAGTTGTCATATTTAACTTCAGCAAATAGAAAAGCATGCTGTTGGTTTGTGCTAGTTTTGCTGGTTGCAAATCCTTAAAAAAATCTTACAATGGCAGCAAGGTTGTGAAAATGAGAAGTGAGGCTTAGGGAAATACTCTCCAAATTCATTACTTAATTCAAGTCTTGTATTTGATAGTTCAGTCAGCTGCATGTTTCAAGAAGAGCTGAATATATTTCTCCAGTGCTTTTGTCAGGAGTGTAGTCCTGAGGCAGCAATCAGAGATTATTTCAGAATAAATGCTTAATGCTTGACCCTACTGTTGTTAATGTATGAATGTGTTTGATGTTGAAAAAGTGCTGGGCAATATTAGTTCTAGACATTCTAACTTGCACTGATTTTAGTGTGGATGGTGATTTGGGATAGATAACCTTGTTTCTGAAGAGATAAATTTATTTATTCCCAGCCTTGAGGTATGGTCTATTATCTACTTCTGCCATAGTGCAGGTGGAATATTACTGTTTCCTACTTTGAGAGCAAGAGCTGGATTAGAGTTGAACCAACTTTGAAAATTTCCCTCTCCCTCACAGTGAGTGTCTGACTTTACTGAGGAGTAGTTGGGAAATCAGATGCCATCCTGTGTCCTTTCCCACAGACCATGGCCCTTAAGGCACAGCTAACACAGGCAGGAAAGACCTAATCCTAGTGTGTGATGTGGGATTAAAACACATTCCAGCTTGCAGCATCATTTCTGCCTTTGACTGGGACATTAGGTCATGTCTTTATGGTACCATAATGTTCTTCCCATCAGTGACACACAGGCTTTGGACATTTTGGTGCTCATCTGCTTGCAACCCTGGTGTCAATGGAGCTCTAGTAATTATTGCCAATGGATCTACAGAACAAGTTAGTAGGCATTTAGTTTGTCTGAGCTGTCAGTTTACATGCCAGGCACAAGTTCAGGTAGGGCTACGTCCATGCACTACTCCAGACCACAGATGCACTTCTGAAGTGACTTCTGCTCAGCCCCACTCACCACGCTTTGGCTGCTGCACCTTGGTGCAATCTTGGGGTGCAACATACGATTCCTTCTAGAAGCAAATCAACCAGAAGACACTTTCTATGGCCAACCATAATGCACCCCAGCTGCCAAAGGGTGCTTATTCTGGGAACCAGGCTAAGTCTAGGCCTAAGTAAATGCGTCTTAACCTGCTGGAATCCAGCCTGTGGAGGCTGGATCTTCAGAACCTGCTGATTTGCTCTACAGAGCTCTTCCCAGGAGTTTGCCCACTTATCAAGGCAAAAAGAGCCTTGAGTATCTAAATTCAAGTGTCTCATACTGGGAGCTGAATTCTCCCTTCATTCACAGCTGTGACTCTGAAAGGATTTTTCTAACTCTTTTGTAAGAGTAAAACTGAATCATAACATAGAAATTTGGTGACATGATATAAAGAAGATAAAATTTATGCAGACTTTGATTTACTTCCAAACTCTTTGTTCCATCTTAAAGCTATGTCAATAAAAATGAATGCTTTGAGTAAAATATGGACCAATGTATTTTAAAGAGGATAGGTATCTCACCACGACGTGCAAATCTAATCTCAATGTCTGCACGGCCCGTGAAAACTCTTCGGAATTGCAGCGGAGTCACATCACTCCATACCATCAAGGCCCTTTTAATTGCATCATCCACTTTCCTTCTGGGTAGATCAGGTGTATAATTGAGAATCCTGTCAGCAAAGAAAAACAGGTTAATTTCATTTAATCAGTGAAGGAAACACACCTAGTTAGATACAAGGCAATTCTCTTCCCCAGAAAACTTGAAACATCACTTACTTGTAAGTTAAATGTGTCTTTTTCCATTTTGGAGTTCCAGGAAATGTTTGATATTCTGCTACATCAGGCCTACCACATCTGGGCATTTTCATTATTCCTTCTGTTTCTGTGTCTAATTTTCCAGTTACAGTCAGGTGGAAAAACCTCTGCATTTCTTTAATCCTTTCTTCTATGCTTAGGTTTTGTGTTTTTGCCAAAATTGGAAAAAATTTATCAAGATATCCCTGGAAGAAGAGAGGGAAAATAAAGATTAATATGTATATCTGTGATATTTTGGTAATTGCATTTTACATTTTTTTTAATTGTTTCATCATCCTGCATCATCCATGTCTAGTTTTAGTTGTATCTTTCCATTTCAAGTTACCGAATTCTGCTCTCTCAGTAGTAGAGATCAGCATATATAAAAAGAATTGTAACAGCAATGAAACATTGCAAGTAAGAAACCCTTCCAAGTTACCACAGTTCACTGAGCATTCAAGTCTAGAGTCTTCTAACACAGTACACATAACATTTTTGAAATATTTTTAAAATTACATGCTCCCATTATTTACCAGTTGGAATGTGGTCTCTTTTTAAAGTTAGTCTTAGGAGGTTTAAGCTACTCATCAAGTTTAAACTGTTTTATATCATGTCTGCAAAAACTGTTGTAATGTAAGACAAGGTTAATATGAAAAGGTATTAAAGGTATTAAAATCAGATTATTCATAATGTAGTTGTGTTTCTCCCCATGTAACATACCTTTACTTTCTCAAGTTCTATGCTATTCCATGATTCTGGTTTCAGTTGCACTGGGAAAGCAGGAATCTCAGGTAGGAAGATGACAGCACAAAGCAGGAGGTAGTGCATGGTGCCCATTTTGATGAGGAGCCTTGCTGGAGCAGAAAGAGTTTGACTTTCTGTCACCCAAGACCAGAGCTAAAACCCTTATATAGATCCTGATAGCTCCAAGCAGCAATTATGCATGTGACTCACTTTTTGGTTTTGTTAGTGTAATGTCATCAATACTCTAAGATGTAAATGAAATCACGTTAAACAAATCTTTCCTGTAACTTCCCTGTTGATGTCACGTCACAGCTAGCAGCCAGCTTTGTCTCTCTCTTTTCATATTATTCCAGTAGTGAAACCACAGGGTCATAGGGAAGTTCTTTTTCTGTAACTTTATCTGTACAGTTACTGTGTAATCACTTCACACTGCACTTTTCCCATGTTACTTATACACAAAGGCATTTTGCAAGAGACCTTTGGCTGCCTGCCTGTACCAGTCAATGTAGAGGCAGAGAGGAGATGGGTGCGAGCAGTGTCTCACTGAAACCACTGCCCTGCTCAGTAAACTTTCAGAGGTTCCTGCAGTTCAGAAGACAGCTCTTTAAAAGTACCCTCTTGGACTAAGTGGACATCAGGTGCCTTTGTCCCTTTCCTTGGGACAAATGGGATGACCTTTCAGAAGAATCTCTTTACATTTGAGAACTAGATATAGAATATAACTTACAAGAGTAGGTGAGAGCTCTCAGGGGAAAGAGAGGAGCTTTTCCTAACAAATAGGGAGCTATCTTAGACCTCCTGCTGTACCAGTGCAACCTGAGAAAGCTGCATGAAGCACTGACAGAGCAGGGCAGCTGTAACCCTGTAACCTCCCCGGCCCCCTGATGGAAATTTTTGAATGGAAATTTTAAAAATTCAGTGAAAAAATTTTCATTACTTTGGGCTCAAAATCAGCATGAATAAATCAAATTCTGATAAGATCAATATCAAAAAGGAACAGATTCTGTTTCCTTACATTTAGTTGTGTGAATTTTGCAGACTTTATTGCTTCGTCTTGGTCTTGAATAATAAAAAATATCATGGGTCAAGAAAAATAATTTCCTGCACAAAAATCATAGTCATGTGACTCGTATTCAGTAGAGAACCTGTGTCTGTGTTGGAGAGTATGACCTGTGTAAACAAAGGTCAAGGAGATCCAAAGCAATACTATAGAGACATTTAATAATAGAAGTTGCTGTAAATTCCGTTAAGAAGACTTACAACATTGCCATGGAAAAGCTTATACTGTCACATTTTTGAGGAGAGTAACCCTGCTGTGATCAAGCATGCTGCATAAACTATGTCCTGTGTGGAACTCATTGATTGACACCAGACATTTTGAGTTCTAGAGAAAAATACTTACGTAAAAAGTAATACCAGAGTCTCCTTTGAGCATGACTAGGATGAAAAAGTGAAGTAGAAATGAATGATTCAGTAGTGAATGATCACTGTCTTGGTCATTTGACTTGGGCAGAAGGATCAGCTGAATTTGGCCCAATCTGAATGCAGACAAAAGAGTTCATACAAGTCGAGAACTGCTCAAATATCTTTGTGAATGTTATGAATCTATCTGGGATAGATTAAATTTATTCATAGCAGTATGCATGGTGCTCTACCCCCATGCTCTGGGTATTGGTGAAGAGTGTTCCCACAATGTGAAGACTTTCTCTGCTCACACTTGGCTCTCACACTGTATGGAAGAGGCTGGGTGGAAAAGTGGCTGGGAAGAGACACATCCACGACAATTGACCTGAGTTCTCCAAAGGAATATGCCATATGATATAATGCATGTTCATCAATAAAACTGGGCTAGCAGAAGAAAGATGTGGAGTGAGGGTTGTCTTCCAAGGTAGTTATTGCCTGGAGGCTGGTTGGACATCAATCTGTTTGCAGCAGGTGCTGAGCCTGTGCAAAACGTCCCTCCACTCCACCCCATCCTTTCAGTTATTAAACTTTCTACATTTCCTAATCTCTCCCACTGTGCATGGGGAGCAAGCAAGTGACTGTATGGGTGATTAGATGTTGGCTGTTTTCTACCCACTATGGTGAATATCAAGGAAAAAAGTATTGCCAAAAATTCCTGAGAAATGTTTTGTTTGGGTCACTTGTGAATTATGCAATATTGTATTTAAAGTCCTACCAGAAACAGGACAGACCTGTTTTTTTAGGATCTGCAGGACACATGATTGGTTTTGTTCTGTTATCTGGTTATTCAGTTTGACTAACTAAAAATAAAATTCAGACACGGCAAATATCTTTGCAGAGTAAAATGTTTTGTTTTTTGCATCACAATTTCTGAAGCTAAGTCCTGCGAACTGCAGTCTGATTCAGAAACTTCCTGGCTTCTGCAGTCCATTTCCATAGATTTTACCCAAGGGGGCTGTCTGCAAAAGAGTACCTTGGCACCTATGATATAGGGCTATGTATCATTTTTGCAGGCTGTGTGATGGTAAAACCCTCCAGGCATACCTGCCTGGGCACCAGGGTCGTGCCAGGGCCCCTCGGCATTGCGTCAGCTCGTCTCAGGAGCAAGACAAGCCAATCCTTCTCTCCTGTTTGGCTGGATCAAACTGCATTGAGATATTTCTCAGCAAGATCCCACTGCTCTAGGGAAGGAAAGGCCCGAGGAAGGGATTAGATGTTCAGATGCAGCACAAACAATGTGATGACAACTAGCACATCTATGTAACTTGTAGTTAAGCAATCAAACTTAACACATCTCAACTTGTGGATTTACCATCTTCTCACAGTGTCTAGAATTGCTTTGCTTTGTTTCTCTAATTACTTTGTATTTACAACAGTTTAATTGGGACATCTGGTGGGAAAAGATGCAAGTATAGAGATAAGTTTTTACAATAATAATCTTGAGCAACAAACCACAAGGCAAATGGCTTTCCTGTAAGTGTTACTTACCTGTGTGACCTTCAGACACCCTCAATTCTTTGATTTGTCTTGTCCTTTGGTCAGTGATAAAGAGGCTGTTTCTTCCAGCCAACAGACATGTGGATCTCTCAAAAATGTCTACGTAATAATTGAACTTACTCCATTTAAATAGAATTCATAACCTTTAGCTGCATGCAGTCATTCTGTCTTCCAAAAGCAATGCACAGGACATGGGGAAGAGAAGAGGGTCACAGGTCAGTCAGCTGCATTTCACTGCAGCATGATTTGAAACCTTCCTGGATAGGAAAAGTTACATAACCTCCCATAGTAATCTTTTTGTAGTTGGCTGTCTCCATCCATTTGTATGTCTGTCTCAATACTTTAAATGACTGAAACAAGATGTAAACTAGAACACTGCATACGTCTTGTCTTGACAAAACCATATTACTTCATGTAGGAACCCCCTAACAGCATTTGCACTAAGGCAACCTCAGACTGCCTGAAATTCTGCAGCAGAACCCTGTGAATGAGCTGCAGAGTTCCACCTAAAACAGACTGAGCTTGTGGTGGTGCTGCAAGGACAGACAGAGAAGTTGTGACAGCATGGGAGGCATGCTGGACTTGGCCTGACCACACTGACTGTAACCCAAACTGAGGAGCAGCCAATGTCTGCAGCTCCTCCTGACTCATCCTGATGATTTGCAAGGGTCTGTACATGCTGGGACACCACGGTGAGTTTGGGCTTTAGTGACTGTGGAGAACAGGGTTTGAAAGACAGGATAGACACTGCAGAATGTGACATGTGCTGAACCTCATAGACTTGTATAAATCTTTGGAAAAGGTGCTGGGAGTATAGATTACATCAACCAAAATTTTGCTTTTAGGCTGATTTGAAAAATCTTACTTCTATACAAAAATTCAGTGACCCTGAAATACCCAAGAGTTGATACAAGATTTCATTGCAAATTGACATGAAGTAAAACAGCTCCGAAGGAATTACAGGCTTACCTCCATGGTGTTATACTCTAGTATAGAAGACAGGAGATTGAATTTGAATGTAGTCAATATAAGATCAGTGCAGAAGCTTGATTTATCTCATTAGAACTGAGATTCGGCCATGAGGATTGCAAAAGACCATAAACAGATGTATGTGAACACACATACAATTTATACAACATTTCCCTGGAAGTTGTAAGGTTTCATAATCTTATTGTTGCTATTCAAATGATTCCTGATTCTCAGCACTGATTCATGTCTGGAAGCTGTTTGCTGCTCACAACTCCATATGTGGGACAGGTCCTTTTCTATTGCCCTGTCTAGTTTCCAGTAACTGAGTAAAAAGACAATAACATCACTTTCTTGGTAAATCTGGTTATATCACTGAAGTTCTCTTTCACCAAAAAATTTCCTTCCTTGCACAAACTTGCAGCCTCTGTGTCCCACAAATCATGTTATGCTGATTTTTCCAACATGATGGATTTTGACTTTGGCACCATTAAAAAACAATCCAACCATTAAAAAGTGCACAACCAAATAAGGGCTGTTAGCACTGGGATGGTGAGGAGTGAGTCACAAAGAAGCCTTGCTGACTTTAGAAGCCTTTTTCGTGCAGCTGCTCACTACCCTGAGTGGTTGCTTAACCAAACCCCATTTGAGTAAACCAGTCTCTGTCTGTTCTAAGGAGTTAAGTGGCTGTAGAGGGTGAAACAGCAAGTGCTGAGGCCTAGGTGCCTGTGTGGGAGGGGAATATCCCAGACAGCTCAGGTCTGGTCCAGCAGGCTGAGCATCCTCAGTGGAATGCTCAGCACCATCCTAAAGGGATGCAGTTGCCTCATGCCCAGCTGATCAAGGTGTGAACCCAAGTGCAACAAGTGCAGATTGGTTACAAGGCTGGAAACACACACCTGGTCCAGCATGGAACACTCCTGGAGGCACACCCAGTACCTTGGCCCTTTAAAATATAACTGACATCATTACATTTTCTCCAGAGGCAATTTTCACTGCCAGGTGACTATGGCTGATCACAGGTCAGGAACAATAGGCTTTTGTATACGTGAATCCTTAATTATCAATTACAGTAATGTGTAACAACAGGAGATTGCATGTTGAAAGACTTATTCCAGTCCTCATTCTACGTCCCAGAAGTTTACTGTAAATCAAGT